TAACTTTATTAATAGTTATTGTATCAATGATGAAACTTTATTAATGATGTAACTTTATTAATGATGTAACTTAATGTAACTATTATAATAATATTTCATCATGTGAAGCCTGTTCAGACCAGCGGATCAGTTTTCTGCAGGACCATGTTGGACCTGGTTCCTGTCCTTCAGTGAAAACCTCCTGACTGTAACTTTGCTGCCTTTATTTAAAATCCTCTGAGTTTAAAGGTAATTTTTATTTGTTTTTCTGTAAATGTTTGAAGACTTTCAGGTTTTAAATATATTTTGGAAACAAAAATATATACTGAGATGTTTTTGATCAGGTTGTCAAATATTTTTAGACTAAGTGAAGTTTCTTCTTACTGTGGGCCCACTACCTGCAGGATGGGTCACGTGGGTCGGGTCTGTACAGGGTCGGGTCCATGGTGCCATGGCTGAAGGTCCTCTGACCCTGGGCTATCAGACCTGGCTCCTGGGACCTGGGACCTGGYACCTGGACTGTCACCTCTCTGGTGGGGGAGGAGCCTGAGCTCAGTGTGTGGTGGAATGGTACCAACTAGAGCCAGCTGGGCTCACCTCCACAGTAGCAGTGTAACACATGGATCTACATCCAGTTGAATTGAATAAACCTTTATTGTCCTTGTACAGAGCACAATGAAATGACGGATCAGAACAGCCGTTCAGAAGAAGACAGGACATAACAAACATGGGAGAACAGGTGCTCTGGGTCATACAGACCCTGCACAGAACAAGGATCATCTTCATGAAGACATCATGAGGAGGTGCAAGTCTTAACAGAAAAACTAAAAACTGCATAAGGATGAGGAAAAAACAAATCATCATATATCAACAAAATGTGRCACACTGTGGTGTTTGTAGAAAAAACCTCTGCAAATCAAAGACTGGTGTTAGGCTACATTCACACCAAACACGTTGCACACCTCCAAAAACCTCAAACACACGCCTCCCAACCAGGAGAGGTACTTTTGACATCGGAATTGATTCGGTACCAATTTCAGGTACCCGGGAATTGGTATCAGTACTCAAAGGTACCAATTTTTGGTACTTTGTGTTGTTTTTTGAATAATAAACTTTTTTATTTAACACATTTGTTTCTCAATATATAAAATTTAACAAAGACATCATCCCACTCTTTGCATTATAACATCAGTTTTTTAACAAATTTCTTTAAAGTGAAAACTCATGAAAACAATGTTTTTGATGCTCAAAACATGGCTCGACTTGATTTAAACTTATTTACCTTCCATGGACCTCCATCACACAGTTTGTCCAGTGGGGAAATGAACAGAAACACGTGGAGCTGTAACAAGACAAAACACTCGTATCCAACACTTCCATATATCATCATCAAAACTAACCAATAATCATCATCAAAACTAATCAATAATCATCATCAAAACTAACCAATAATCATCATCAAAACTAACCAATAATCATCATCAAAACTAATCAATAATCATCATCAAAACTAATCAATAATCATCATCAAAACTAACCAATAATCATCATTAAAACTAATCAATAATCATCATTAAAACTAATCAATAATCATCATTAAAACTAATCAATAATCATCATTAAAACTAATCAATAATCATCATTAAAGCTAATC